CATTTGAAAAGGAAGATGACCTCTTTGTCGCATGGAATTAGGCTTTATTGCAAGCTGCTGCCATGGAAACCAGTCCCCAGTTCTCTCTGTTTCGATTTTTGCAGGGACTTCAGCACTTTTATTTGTTTCCACCAAAAAAATAAAATGGGCGAGAAGCCCTGGTTCTTTGCTCCATCATTTAATGTTTCCAGGAATGCCTCAAGCTATAAAGCCGAAGGGAGGAAAGTGGAAGTGAAAATCTGAGTGCAGATGGACAAATGAAAGGTGATGATGGAATCATTAGACAAGAAGGAGAAATGGAGAAAGCCATTGGTGACACTTCTGGGTGTCCGAAGTTCATTAAGACCCATCAGAAGGGATACAGTCTCCTATGGGATCTTTTCTAGGCCAGCTACAGTCCAAACTGCCTTCTCTTGGAGATGTGTCCCTGGAGGTAACCTTAACTTATCACCTCCTAATTTCTTACAGCCCCGAAATTTAACATGCAGTCTTATATCTTCCAAGCCACACGAATCTGCAACACAGTCCCCAACATTGAACCTCAAAGTACGTTTCCATTGGAAAGAACTGTAAAGCCCAGATCCTTTTCATTCCTTCAGAAACACACCACTTCTGTTTTGTAAGAAAGGTGCTACAGCCTTGGAGAGGGAAAGAGAGCGATAAATAAGTAGAAAGAGAATCGATGAGACTGCTGACTGGAGATTTGCATCCAAAAGTTAATGGGAGTCCTGAAATATGGCCCCACCCCGTCATCTCGGTGAGTGCGTGCTAGGGAGGAGCCCCTGACTCGAGGGTGCTTGGAGCGTCTCGCTCCTTTCCCATTCTGATCCTGGAGACCACGAGCACCCCTCCAGCAGGTGACACCTGCCAGGGCTGGAGCGCCAAGCCGGCGCCCGTGCGGGCGCTCAGGGAGGTCTGGCCCTTCTCCTGGTATCCTTAGTCGGGAATCCAAGTTGGCATTTCCCTCTTGGCTCCCTGAACCGCTGGAGAAGCTGCCAAGGAGAGCGAGAGCAGAGCCTCGCCCTCCCTCCCCCGCCCCCGGCGCCTATGGTGGCGGGTGGTGGGGGGAGTCATTTGTTGGCGTGCACACACCATCAGGATCCTTTCCCACACGGTGCTGTCAACTCACACCACCTTGCACGGGGGAAGAACAGCGCCCGCCACGCTGGCTTTCGCATTCTGCTTTCCGGATGACTGAATTTCTTTGCTCCTCTCCCTTGTCCCGGACCGTCTGAAACTGCCACGAAGCTGGGAACCTCCACCCTCCGGGACCAAAAAGCGACCCGCTGCAGCGTCTTCCGTAAGACCAAGGCCATGTCGATTGCATAAACCTGGAGAAGAAATACCGGTCCAGGGCGAGAAAGACGGTTGCTGCCGACCTAGCCCCTGGTCCTCCGAGGGTCTCCTGCGGATCACAGCTCGGAGCCACACGGGGCGGCGCACCCCCAACCCGCACCCCCAGCGCCCTGGAAAAGAAACTGCTGAGAACAATGAGCCCTGGAGGACGGGGAGAATTGCAACGGGGTTGAGAACCCTCATCCGTCACCCCCCACTCCCCCCAGCCCCGCCTTTTGGGCATTCCTTAAGTTTAATCATTAAAGTGGATCCTTTAAGAAGGAGGCCGCTGCTGCTGACGGTCTGCCCCACACACTGTCAGAGTAGAGAAAGATCTGCGTTTAGCTTTGTTGCTTCGCGACCAATAGCAGACTTGGGGAGACCAAACCCTGGATTTCTGGCCACTTCAAAGCACTGATTATGCAAATACTCGGGTTTTTTTTTTTTTTTTTAAGAATAAAAGAAAATTGAGGGGGAATTATTTATCACACAATGAACCCCCTGCCAGGGTGGGCAACAATAGATCAGACCAGATAGCCCTTCTAGCCCCGGGCTGGGGGAGCGGGAAGGGAGGAGGGGTGCTGGAGCCCTCACGTTTTATTGGGCTAACCCAATTTCACTAATTTTCTTTTCACACATTTCTTTTGCGGATTCGGAGGCCAGGACTTTCACGCTCCCGGGAGTGCCCTGTACTGGCGCGATTCAAGAGCTGCCCGCTTTATTTAATTAATACATTCAAAGCTCGCCTGGGAGCCCGAAGCGGCTGCAGGGAGGCGCTAGCTGAGCGGGAGGAGGAGACTCTTTCAAACGGTTCCAGGTGTCGGTGCCCAGAAGTCAACCCTCCCAAGGCCGAGCGATGCAGGAGGTGCACTGAGCGGGTGGGAGCGCAGCAGCTCTGGGCCTCGCCTGCCTGGCCCTTCCCCAGTCGGGAGCCCCGCCACCCCAGGCGGACAGGCGGGTGGGCGTCGCTGAAGCCGGCCTTAGGCTTGGACGCTCTTCCGTGGGTCATCAGACCAGGCTCTGGGAAAGGCCATCTGGGGCCAAAGCCTCCGGAGCCTTCCAGTGGCCTGGCTTCAGCCTGAGCACGGTAGGGCTCAGCCGCGGAGGGCGCCCACCCGGTTCTTGCCCACGTGCGGCGGAGCCCCTGAGCTGCGGCTGGGGCTGGGTCCCTCTCTCCGCTTGTTCTCTCCCGTCTTGGCCCTTGGATGCCCTTGGAATCTGGTATGCGCTGTCACAAGGCCTGGACACTTCAGAACAAGTAAATACAACCAGCGCCGGAACCCCGGCGCCCGGGGAAGCGACTCCCCAAAGAGGAGAAGAGGATCCACCTTCGCGCCTCTCCGCGCGGGGGTGATGGCGCGCTGGAACCATCTGGCGCCCCTGGCGGTGTGGTCTGTCACCGGAGGAAAATCTCCGCAGCATTGTTTGAGACTTCTCTCATCAGCCGCCAGGAACAGAAGCGTGGCCCCGAGGCCCGCAGCCTGCGTGATGCAGGCTTACCCAGCTCCTCACAGCGCGGCCACAATGTGGGGCGGGACAGGGGCAAAATAGAACAGCGACTTTGTCCCCTAGTGCAGAAGCAGCGGCTCCGACCCCGTCAAGGAGACGCGAGGGGACGACTGGGCAGGGGAAGAAGAACGGCCAGCTAAGCGAGACAGGAAGAAACATCATTCTATTTTTTTTTAAAGATTTATTTATTTGAAGGGCAGAGTTACAGAGAGGCAGAGGCAGAGAGAGAGAGAGAATATGAATCTTCCATCTCCCCAGATGGCCGCAATGTCCGGAGATGCGCCGATCTGGAGCCAGGAGCTTCTTCCGGGTCTCCCATGCGAGTACAGGGGCCCAAGGACTTGGGCCATCTTCCACTGCTTTCCCAGAGATCTGGATCCGAAGTAGAGCAGCCGGAGCTCGAACCCCCGCTCATGTGGGATGCGGGCACTGCAGGCGGGGCTTTCCCTGATAGGCCACAGCGCCGGCCCCAGAAACATCATTCTTAATAGTAATAGACTCCATTAAATAATAATAATAAAAGTGTAGTAATTTGTTGTGAAATAAGGTGTGCTCTAGATGGGGAAAGGAAATCCTGAGTGGCAGCTGTGGGAGGCAGAAGGAAGCCCCCCACCCACCCCTATGAGCTGCTGCTGCTGGGGGTGGGGCCTCCCTGCAGTCTGCAGTCTGTGGGTCTGCAGAAGCTGTGTGGACCAGCTGCTTCCCAGGTGGAGGGTTGTCATCTGGATTACCTTTACCCAAAGCTACCTCTCCATTCCTGCCTCTCCAGCTAAGCCATTAGGGGCACCTCTTCATGGGATCACTTCACCAATTGAGGTTTCTCATAGTTTTGGAAAAGCAGCTGTTTCTTGCCATGAACTCTTTCTTTTTTAAAACCTTAATTTCTTTATTTCATTTGGAAGGTGGAGTGGGTGTTGGAGAAGGGGGAGGGGATGTTTCCTCTGCTGGCTCACCTCCCAAATGGCCACAATGGCCAAGGCTAGGCCAGACTGAAGCCAGGAGCCAGGAGCTTCTTCTGGGTCTCCCATGCATGTGCAGGGGCCTAGGCACTTGGGCCATCTTCTGCTGCTTTCCCAGCACACAAGAAGAGAGCTGGATCAGAAGTGGAGCAGATGGGACTCTGGCAACCTGATATAGTATCCTGCGTCTTAATGCACTGTGCCACAACTCTGGCTCCCTGAACTATTTCTTTGTCCAAAGTTTCTAGAAGAAGTACAATGTATCCCAAGTATTATCATCAGAGCAAGATGCTATTTCACAATAAAACTAGTATTTTCAGACTCTTGCACTGTAATTTGTTTTTCTTTGTTGGCTTGATTTTAGTACACCAGATGCAGTAACTCTAGTGTTTCTAGGCATGTGCACACGCACCAGAGAAATCTCACTTTCTTGCTTCATCAGATGATTGAGGAGCAGCTGAGAGTAACACAGTTTTACGTTAGACGGAATCTCCAACAGTTTTGCCTTTAGTACAGCTATGAAAACTAATAAAAAAAATCTCAGCTTGGTTCTTCCTTTGATAAAAATGGAGTTATTAAAAACATGGAGGATGACCCAGGTCCTTAGGCCCTGCACCCACATGGGAGACCAGGAGGAAGCACCTGGCTCCTGGCTTCAGATCGGTGCAGCGCGCCAGCTGTAGTGGCCACTTGGGGGTTGAACCAACGGAAGAAGGAAGACCTTTCTCTCTGTCTCTCTCTCTCACTGTCTAACTCTGCCTGTCAAAAACAAACAAACAAAAAACACTAAATATGTTCTAAATGGTGAGGGGGAGGAGGAATTTCAGATAGACATCTCAGGAGAAATTATCATTGTTTTATGCAGAGGAGTGAAGATTTAGCCTAAACAGGAAGCAGATATGACATTTATGATGTGTGTGTGTGTGTGAACAACCCACTTTTTTTCTTTACCTAGCCTGATCTCTTTTAACTTTCATTCTCATTGACACTCTACCCAAAAGGCTTAAAACTAGAATGTGATCAACTTTCACTGGTCATTTTTGACCAAAAGCCAATCAAAGTTCATTAATTTTTGCTTTGGAGATTATGGAGCAAATTAAACCATTCTGCTCCCTCTTTGGAGAAGTTTTGACTATGTAATTAATTCTATAAAGATGGAGAAACAGCGCCACTACAGATTTTGAAACTGCTAGCACATTCTGAATATTTTCTTTTATTGAGGAGTTTGCTTTTCAAATGAGCTAGCTTTTTAAAATATTACTACAAATTCAGTTTCCAATAATGAATTTACAAACAGTTGTGTCACAAATATTGTTATAGCTTGAAGCTCTTAGAGACCACTGTTTAGTTCCTTTAATTTACAGATAGTAAATGAAGCCAAAAGTAGTTAAGTGAGAGAACCAAATTTCTACACAAGAAACTTCAACTTTACTACTTTTTAAAAATCAAGGTTTTCTGAACTTTAGAGCTTGTCATGACTTAATTGGCATTGTAATTCTTCTGCCCCCCCCCTTTTGCTCAGCTTGTCTGCTTAGAAACTGATTTCTTTAAAACGGAGTGCGTGTTTTTATTGAGAGTTATTTCAGTGCTAGTGGCTTGAATCTTATTCCTTAGTGAAATTATATACACAAACAGTCCCCCAAAATACAAGGACTCTATTTGACACTGGGATCATTTCAGAAAAACATAACTCCTCCTGCATCTAATAACTACAGAAACAAGAGATTAGAATACAATACCCAACACTTATGAAAATTAGATACTTTATTTATAGTTTAATCACAAGAACAATTTTCTTGTTCTGCAAGATGTAAATACATACTAGAATAAACTCTGTAGAATATACAAAAAATACATACTTTTCCCATGAAAATTTTCTTTATAATAAATAGAAAGGAACACGTGTGTGGCTGATCCAGATAATACTCCGTGTCTGCTTAGGTTTTCAGACTGTTGATTTATTTTTAATCTCTTAAAAGAATGGGGGAGTTCCTTCTCCCTAAAAGGTCGAGATAAATAATGCATGAAGCAATCCTCCCTCCTGATTTTTCCCTTTTTCTCCACATTTCTCCTTTTGATAGAGAGTTCAGCCTAAATTTCCACGCTTGTATTCAATCATTACAAAGCCTACAAATTATACAATGACTTCTAACCTGGCCCTCTAACAAAACGAGCTTCCCCCCCTTATAAATCATAAGAGACAGATGGCAAAATGGTGAAGAGAAAGGAGAGAGAAAGACGGGACAATAGGCATTGTGACGAATATGGGAAGCAGAACAAAGTGCACATCAGAGAGGGAAAGTTTGGTTTGACAGGTGAAATTCCCACAGCCTGCAGACAGCAATGGGAAGAAAGCAGATGCCAGCCATTGCAAATCTGTGGATAATATTATTACCGGTGAAATCATTCAGATGCTAAGATACGTTTCTTTCTACTCGACATTAACATCTCTATGTGGAAGCAAAGGTGAAGAGAGCACAAGAACCAGTTGCCTTCCCCCTGGGAGCTTCACACGCACAGAGCCCAGTCCTCTGCGGCGGCGTGGCTGAGAACCGGGAGCGGCGTCCGCCCGCCGCGCGCTAGGCAGGTGCGCCAGCACCTCTCTGCACAGCGCATTTTCAATCTCAACAGGCGCCAACCCCAGACCCCCATCCTCTGACGGCAAAGCTCCCTCGGCCCTTCACTAAACCGGAGCCCGTCAGAAGGAAGGAGATCCATAACCAAGGATCGCAACCTCTAGGCGAGGTGGGGGTGGCTTCCAGGGCGTGGAGCCCGCACGCAGGGGAGGTGGGGAGGAGGACTTGGTGGGGGACAAGCAACGCGAGCCCGTAAGGCCCGGCGCGGGTAGAGATGGCAGCTCTAGATACAATCCCTGGCCATGGGGAGGTGAGGCGCATAGCGGTGCTTGTCGGGAGGTGGGGGCTGCCAGTAGTCCATGTCTGACCCGGCCGGGCTGGCGGGCGATAAAGTGCAGCTGTAGGGGGAAGTGGAGCTGGAGGAGGCGGCGGAGGACGGCGCGGGGCTGTTGGTGCAACTCCACGTGGAGGCGGGCGACGGGCTGTCGGGGCCGCAGCTCAGCGCGGCGCTAGCGCCTCCCGGGCTCAGCAGCACAGCCTCGGAGAAGAGCGCCCCCGGCAGGCCGCCGCCGCCGCCACCGCCTCCGCAGTGATCGGCCAGGCGCAAGGTCTCGGTGAGCGCCCAGATGTAGTTGTGAGCGAAGCGCAAGGTCTCGATCTTGGTTAGCTTGGCGTCCTCGGGGAACGTGGGGAGCACCTCGCGCAGCGCGTCCAGCGCGGCATTGAGGTTGTGCATGCGGTTGCGCTCGCGGTTGTTGGCCTTCAGTCTGCGTGTCTTCTTGATGCGCTGCACCGTCTCGGCAGTTTTGGCGCCGCGGGAGACAGCCCGCGCCCGGGAGGGACGCCGCTTGCATTCGTGTACCAGCCCAAGCAGCCGCGCGGGCCGGCAGCCCCCTGCACCCGCCGCCGAGCCGCCCCGCGCCCCCTGTCCCGCCTCGGCCCCACGCGGCCGACGCGCCCCTCCCGCCGCGCCCAGCTCCTCCTCTTCTTCCTCATCTGCGCTGGACGACAGCGGGGTCAGGGCAGCCGAAGCAGGAGACGCCGAGCCGAGCAGCACCAGCACGTCCTCCTCCTCCTTAAACTCCAAGGCCTCGGTTTTGACGAACATGCTGCGGGAGAGATGAGGCGGGGAGGAAGAGGCAAATGAGATGTAAATACAGAAGTGGAGTTACGTTCTCCGTGCCACAGGGCGTGCCCCCGCGCGCACCCGCAAAGTCCGGCTCCGCAGGCACCGTAGCAGGGGAGCTGTAGGAGGGGACCCGGCAAGTGCTCTACAAGGTCAGGAGCTCCCCCAGGATCACGCAAGCCGCGGGCGGCGCTGACGGCTGAGCTCCAGCCCTGGGCGAGGGACCGCTGCCCTCGGCGCCTGGGCGCCGCCAGCGCGTGCGGGCGTGGTCCGACTGCGTGCGGGGAGCAGCCTGCCAAGCTGGGAGCCCCGGCGTGCGTACTTACTTCGTCGGACTCAGAATGCGCCTCCGCGTAAAGGTGACTTTGGCGCAGCCGGGAGCGCGGCGCGGCGTCCTTCGACCCCTCCTGAAAGCAGCCGGCTTAGCGCTACGGCGGTGCGGCTGGCTCCGCGGGGGACCTCTCGGACCTGCGACTTTGCCAAGAGCCCGGCGGCGGCGGCGGCCCGCCCGAGTCTCGTGTGTTGTGGTGGCGGTGCGTGTCTGTCTGTCAGTCAGTCCTTGGCCGTGCGGCTCCTGGCACGCGACTCCCAGGCACTCCAGTTAAAGCGAAGCTGCTTGTGGTTCAGTGGCTGCGTGTCTGGCACACGACTCTCCTTAAAACCCCTTATATACCACCAGGAAAACAATCAGATCTGCCCCCGGGCCCCCACCACACACACACCCCCGCCGCCGCCCCCTCGCCCCCCTGCCCCGGCCCCCCTTCTGTCCCGCTTTCTCCCTCCCTGGGCTTATTCTTTTCATTGCATTATCATCATTCATTTCTTTCTCTTTCTTCACCGCCTCCCCCCCCTTCCCTGGCCCGGCCATCCATCCTCCTCCTCCTACCCCCGCCTCCCGGTCCCCCCTTTATCTAATCAGCATAAAATGGTTCTAAAGCTCCTGTTGGAGCGCCAGGCTGCGGCCCGAGCTGCCGAAGCCGTGGCGGCGGCCGCGGCTCAAGCTGCGGCTGTTGTCGCCGCCGCTGTCCATTGTGATTGGTGGCTCGCGCTCGGCTGGAGCGTGCCGCTAATTTATTAATGAATGGAGGTCGCGAGGCGCAGCTGGCCAATCAGGGCGCCCCGGACTCCGGGAGGCCTGCGAGCCACGCGCACTGGAGCTCGCTCCCTTTCAGCAGCTCATTAGGGGCCCGGGCGCTAGGGGCGGATTGGGGGGGACCCCCGGCTCCCGCCCCCGCCTCAGTCCTCGCGGCCACCGCAGTTCCCCGCCCCGTCCAGGCGCGCGCACTCCCGGGCATCGCAGCTCCCGGGCGATGGGAGCCGAGGAATTAGTTAATGGGGGTCAGAATCCCGGGGAAAGCTGTTAGCCCTGTGGTGATGCCGGGCGGGAGTCCCTTGGCAAAGCCTCTTAGAGGCTGTATCAAATAGTAGACGATTAAAAAAAAAATGCATTCATTCGGGTTGCGGAGCCAAGAGGTGTGGGGCGTGGGTGGCGAGCTGTGAGCACTGCGTGGGCGAGCGTGTTCGAGTTCCCGAGAAACTGACGTGGGAGAAAGAAGGGACAGGACCTTGAGGATTCAGAGAGGGGCTTCGTGGAAGAGGAGGTCGGGTGGGGCAGCCGTTGACGGGCTTTTGGAGGAGCGAGCAACTCCTACGTTCGGGCTGGAAGGAACTCCCTCGGCACACTGCGGGCCTGGGCTGCACGCAGGTTTCCCTTTGGATTAACCCAGTTTCAGGAGGGGGAGGGAGATCAGTAAGGAGGCCCCTAGCCTGGGTGGCAGCGCGCAGACGGACGCTGCGGTGGCTCGCGTCAGCTAGGGGGCTGCGCTGACATCTCCGTGACCCCTGCTCCGCGCTGGGGGGCGTTGTAGGGACATGGGGCCCGTCCTCCCGATCCTGCCGCTTTTCAAAGAGAAAAAAGAGCTGACGGGCTCCTGGACTTCGGAAGAAATTTGTTCTGAGTCGCGCGGCGGCCCTCCTCCTCCCCGCCACGCTCACGCCCACCTTCCTGTCAACGTGGCTGCCTTTCCGCAGAGGCAGAACCCAGAGCTCTTGGGAGCGCGTCGGTGGGCGCGCAGGGAGGGATCGCGGCGTCCTCGGAGATTGCTGCTGCAAATTCAGTGTAAGCAAGACGCGTGCAAGAAGGGCAAGAGAAAGAAGCCTTAGCTGAGGGTCTGTCGCCTCGTTTTATAGGAACTGGAAACTAATTCAGAGAAGGGCGTGATGAGAATGGCTTTCAGCATTCGGCGTACTTTTTTAACTTGTTTCGTGTGTTCTGTAGGGAGGTAACTGGTGGGGTTGGAAGGCCAAGGGAAAAGAAGATGAAAATTAGGATCTGGTGGAAGAGACCATTGCCCAACAGTCTCCAAATTGAAGACAGCCCTGTCTTGGAAGTGTTGAAAGTCATCATGGTTTGTTTGTTTGCTTTGCCTTTTGATTTTTGTGTTGTTAAGGCCTCCTCCGTTAAAACACATTCCTTGAATCTGAAAGCATCATTTCCCCAGTTCCTTCCTCAATCGCTTCCCTGCAGGTTCATTTCATTTGTTACCAGGGCAGAAATGAAAAAGAAGAGAAGCATTTAAGCTTTCCAGCACACACAGTCCGCCTGCCTCACACTTCTTCCGGTCTCTGTCTCTGCATCAGAACCCGCAGACTCAGAACTTCCTTCTCTGTCTCTGCATCAGAACCCGCAGACTCAAAACTTCCTAAGTGAGTTTGACGTGGTGAGAGACTACAGAAGCGTCTGCCTGAGTTGCTCCTACCCAGGAGCATTATTTTATAGGCAAGGAGCATGGATACCAAACAAGCTACTATTTTTCTGAGTCCTTCTGAAAGGAAACCTGCCAACATGTGGTCTTGCCTCGCCTGGTAGGGATTGAAGGAACATGTGGACTGAAATAGATGCAGAGTTTTTGTTTGTAAATTTGAATGAAATAAAGGATGAGAATGTTATATTCTAAGGAAATGACCACAGATGGCTAAAAATATACAGTGGGAAGGTGGAGGGCACTGTGTCTTTCGATGTCTCCACCCTACTACTGAAGTTGCCAGGAATGACAGACAAGCCAACAGATTAATGTAACAGAAAACAAAGGAAGGTTTAGTTTAGCATCGCAGAAGCATCTCTTTGGACAGATTGCCTCAAATTTGGGGTTTGTTGAGGGCGTGCTAGATCGATTTAGTGATAAAACATATTTGGGGGAAGGACAGAATCAAATCCAGTTAAGTAGAGGTTTGAAGGGAAACCTAGTGAGCTTTGCATGACCCCAAATAACAATGTGATCAAGCTGGGTCTAATTCTGACCACTAGTGAAACACAATGAGTTTCTTCAGTTGCTTGTTAACCGTACTCTGACTCCCAGGTTTCATCTTCTCCCAGGATTCTGTGTTTTTATGACTCACTGAAAGGCCACTTGCTTTCCTTTGACGAAATCCAAACTTTCTGTACTGTTTGCAAGTGAGAAGTTAATGTATCCTGGGCAGAGATGTTTAGGAATGGGAAACTAGTTTTAGAGTAAACCTCACCTTCCTGTTCTGGAAGTGTCTTTCAAAAGGAAAAAATATTTCAATACTGTTAAGAAATTTAGGGGTGGGCACACGTTCAAGAATTGTGCTAATTCAGTCTCAAATCCATTTAGCTATAAAACATTATAGAGTTCAGTGCTATTTTTTAAATAAGGATTTTTGCTTTGGATGCTTTCTGAGGTGTATGTGAGTTTGCTGTGCAAAGTACAGATGTTAAATCACTTTCACCTGGGAACCCTAAGAATTTGGGTTGTGTGTTTGCACTGTAGTTTCAAGAGTTGCCTTCCGCTTGACAATAGAGCTCTTCTGGAAATACTGCCCATTATGAAAAATGTCTTTAAAAAGAAACAACCCAAAGGATCAGCTAAACAGCACTGGGGCAATTCTGAGGCTCACCTTGGGCACGCAGTTGCCTGGAGAGCAGAATTCTGTTTGTCCAACATTTTGCTCGATTTTTGCTCGCTCGCTCTCTCTCTCTGGGTGTGTGTGTGTGTGTAAGTAATGTCGATTTGTACTCCGCTTTGTGAGGACGTGACCGACGCCAAATAGCCTTAGCTGGACTCTTCTAGCACCCTTTCAACTTAAATAAATTCAAGAGGCACTTGTGTGGTCTAAAGATTGTCCAGATGAAGCGAGGCTGAAATGTTACGTGGAGGGGGAGGGGAGGGCGTGAATCGGGCCGCTCCTGGCTATGGCGTGAACTGTCCTAAAGGGTCAAACTGTTCATCTGCAGCCCCTCTTTCAGTGCGCAATCCTACTTTAGGAGAACAAAAGCTCAAAGCGGGCAGTTATCGAGAAATGGCAGCACAATGATTTAAACTCATCCCCGAGACTTAGCAAAGACAGGGGGCCGAGGGCGTGTAAGCCAGAGAAAAGTGAAGTGAGGGGAGGGAGGGAGGGGGTGGAGAGCTTTAGAAAGGCTTTGTTGCTTCTAAGAAGCCTGAACTCCGAGACGACCCGAAAGCCCTAAAGTTTAGGGTAGGTGTTGCTGTGGGGCCGTAGGCGACATCCCATCCACACTTGGACCTCACAAGTGGCGACAAAGGACAGTCGGTGCCCGCGCCGGGCTCTTGCCGTCGCAGGTGGATCTCTGGGGCCGCGGAGGAGGGCGCCCTTGCCCACGTCTGGCCGTCCGGAGGCGGCGAGGACACGCGGGGGGCGTCGGTCGGCGCTGTGCTGGGAACAGCGGCTGCGGCTCTTTGCCCCGCGGGCTTTGCAGCCTAAATCCACTCCAGCGGCCAGGAAAGACGGCAAATCCTGAGCATCTTGCACCTCCGCGGTCTCTAACTCTTAGCTGCGGGCGAGGAACGCGGTTTCAGAGCAGGGGAGGCTGAGGTGGGAGCGACTGCCTTCTGCGCCTTCTGCCAGCCCTTGCCGTGTGCCCAGGCACGTCTTTGGGACAGGGGTACAGGGGCGCGCGGGGAGCCGGCCTGAGTTCGAGCTTTTCGGAGGTCCCCCCGCCTGCGGCCAGCTCCCCAGACACCTCTGCCGCGCGGCGTTCCCAAGCTCGCCCTCCTTTTCTCTTTGGGTCCCGTCCAGGGAGGATTCGGCTCCAACCGGAGTCCTGGAGCGGCCTGGGCTGGGTCGCCGTGCCAGCTCCACCCACTTCGTATATTCCTGGCGTTCCAGACAACCACGAAAGGAGTCGAAGGTAGAGAAAAACGCCCATGCCTGGATCCCAGCCCAGAGAGCCTGGCCCCAAGCCTGCACAGCGTGCTCGGGTGCCCCCAGGCCAGACACGCAGGGACTGGGCCTAGACGCACCAGGTGTGCTTGATGGCAGCGGAATCTGCCCCGAGGGCTGCTGGCAGCTCCCTTTCTTCTTCCCGACCCTACCCTCTCGCCACCTGCTTTGGCGAAGGCACGGCCCAGCCGACTTCTCACCCCTGATGCAAACCGCTACTCGGGCGCCTCTCTTTTCTTCACTCCCCGTAGGAGCTCTTGCCAATCCGCGCCAGCTTTCTGATTGTTTCCCCTCAGGTAAGGGGAAAAGAACAGCCGGCGCGTGAATGGGGAGCCGGGGGCCCACTAGGGAGGGAGCGGACCCTCCCCGCCCCCACCCCGCCCCCCAACCCTCTGTGCCTGCAAAAAGGGACATTGGCTATCCAGGGGAAAGTGCAAGAAAGAGAGCACTAATCGCTGAACCAGGAGACAAACACGATTACCAGCTCCGAGCCTTGAGTCAGAAAGTCTCATAGACTTTAAGATGTTAATCCCCGGCATAATCCTTCCTTTGGCGTGTAGGAATAGTGCAGCCACAAGAGTTGTTTTGTTATTTATATTGGCGTTTAATAAAACTCAGCCCGTGGTGAATGGGCTGCCCACTCTCCAATGGTAATTAATTCCCTATTTCAGTGACCCAATTGTCCAGGGACAGAGCGGTGGGCCCGTCCCGGTGCCCCGAGCCCCCTTTGTGCGGATACACTGCCCTCGTGCTTCAACAGCTATGGAAACTCATTCTTTTGATGTCATTCAAGGAGTTTTCCTTGGGCATCTTCGAAACTTCAAGGACCCTTTTCTTTCTCCGTCGCATGAAAAGCAGTGCGGGCTTGACCACCTCTGTAGAATTTAATGATTTGGTGAAAGGGCCCTTTGGGGTTTGTGTGAGGAGTTAGAGAAAGGAGAGCTGGCAGCCTGCTCCCTCGCCCGGACCGTCCTGAACCTGGAAAACACAAAACTTTGCTTCAGACAAATGAATAAAGATCTTGAAGGCTGATTTTTTTTCTTGTTTCCTTCTCTTCTCCTCACTGAGAAAAATAACAACAACAACAACAATACCTCACGCTCTTCTGGAAATAAATGTGGTGTTGTTTGCCGGTATAAAGGCGAAGGGCGGGGCTGAGGTAAAAAGTTCGAATCTTCAGAAAGGGGTTCTCCTCTGCGGCTTTGGGGGATAGCATATCCGTTTGTTAGACGCTTTAGTTTAATCATGGGGTCAGCCCTCCTTCCCACATTCACAATTTACTTACTGTGCACTCAGTGTGCAGACAGACGGACCCGATGCTGCCCGCACACAGCTTACACTCCAAAGACACAGACTTCTAAAGCAACCTGTATACTACAGAAAGCCCCAGTGTTTCGTACGCAATAAAAGAGGGGGACACAACAGAGGGTGCCGGGAGAGGGAAAGGACACGGTTTACCTTCAGGGATGCAAAGGCACTCGGGGACCCGAGAGGTGACAGCGCATTGGCTGATGCCTTTTTTCACTATCCCCACCCTTCCACTGTGTGCCAGGCGCTGTGGGAGGCGCGGGGCACGCCCCGCGAGAACCCAACTGCTCGTGGCGGGCTCCGCTGTTAGTCATCCTTTTCCCCCCAAGAACTGATATTGGGATGGGCTACCGCAGTGGCCGACGCTACGGTGCGCGGGGGGCGCGGAGGCCGGGGTCTCCAGGCCTGGAGGGGGCGGCCGCGGCGCGCCGGGGCGGCGCTCCCTGCACAAGTAGCTCTTCTATGTCTTTATACGCACTTCCAAAAAAACTCCGCAAGTCACAGAAACAATTCAGAATTCAACTAAGAAAATACAGAGTGAACCATATGGCCTGGGTGGCTCGAGTCGGCCGCATTTTCCTCCAGACAAAGAAGGGATTGAGAGTTGAAGGAAAGGAGAAAAAAACCTAACTTTCCGGCTGATGAAGCTGTTGTCTGGAGGCAATGATCCCAAATCTGAAGGCTTTATCCTGGCCCCGACGGAGACGTGATATGTCATATGATTAGCATCTTTCATATTTACAAGAGTGGTATGGGCTGCCAGTCTTGAGAGAAAGGCGAGAGAAAGAAGGGGGCATATGCTGAAATGGATTTAGCATTTGAAAGAGAGAAAAGAGATCGGATAAATACACTTAAACGAGGATTTAGTTTTACTCCTGTTGAGTTCTAATGGATTGTTGATTGAGATTTTAGGGGCCTGGAACCGAGGTGTCAGCAGTAATTTAAAGAAGGGTATTCAGTCCTTCAGCGCCTCTTTTCTCCATTTCCCCCTGCGGCCCCTCCCACCCCACCCCCGCTCATTTACGCCTTCAAGCAGCACGGGGCGGGCGAAGGCTTTTAAAACAAAACACAAAACAGCATCTTATGCGGGGGCGGTGGCCCAGAGAGGCCGGGCGCCCAGGGGTTTGCAGGAGGCGCCCCCTACAGTCGGCTGCGCCCCCTCCCACGAGGTCACGCTCCCTTCCTGCCGCAGGGGCGCCGCGCAGGTCCAGGAGCTCAGGGCGCGCTCCAGGGAGCTGGGCCCTGGGCTGGCGCGTAGCGAACTCCTGGCGCCCCCTGGCGGGACACCGGGGGATGCGGCGGGCCTGGGCTCACTCGGCGTTAACAAGCCCTGGGGCTTAGCAGCGCTTCGCAGATCCCCCCGGGAAGCTTCCTTGGGAGGCTTCGCCTGCAGCTCTGGTCTCCAACGCAGTACTCAGCTGCTTCCCAACCTCAGATTTGAGCATCAGTGGTGGGCTCCTGGGAGCCAAAAACCACCTCCCTCGGTGGTTCCGGTGGCAGCCAAGTGTGAGAACCAACGTATCTGAGGTCTAAGGCTCTTGTTTGGAGGGATTCGCAATTCACTTGGAAGTGGTGCCAAGACCCAGTAGGCTGCAGGAAAGACTTGGACGCCAGACTTGTTGGCAGGACCTCAGATACACTCACGGTTACTTGCCCTACCAATGGTAAATTCTTGTACTGTGTGTACAGATACATGTCCTCATGCACCTAGAGCCAAATTCCAGATTTGGTCTCCAGGCTGCTCGCGGCTGCCCTGGTTCATTTTTATTCTCTTCCGACTTGGCGGTTGACTTTCCTTTCCAGCTAGATGTCCCGTGTGGGACGCGCTGGCGGTGGGGGCAGGGAGGCGCCCAGTGTCGTTTGCCTTAGGCTTCATCTCCTGCGTCCCGACACCCCAGTTCCTACTTTTGCTCCCCATCTTCATCTTTTTTACGTTTAAAATTACTTGTCCTTAACGTTGTCAAATTACTGTGTTTCCGAAAGGTCTGCGGTAATTTAAGGACTGATCGTTTAAGGCCTTTACCTGTGATTTAGAACGAATTTAAGTTGTCTGCACTTATTAATAAATTATAAAATAATTATAATTGCTTGTAAATATTTTAAAAATATAATAGCAAAAATGCCATGCAGACTTAAAATTGTATTTGACAGGTTTGATTTTTTTAATCATCATATGATGTTTAATAGGAGCAAACACAATTTGTAGACAGTATTTATATCTGATTGACTGGGCAAACATTTGTACATATATCCTGGGAACAGAAATATTCTTTTTTTGCCATTGAGTACTGGAAATTTTAATTTTCCTCTTGGGGAAGGTATTGTGGCACAATGGGTTAAGCTGCTACTTGCAAGACTGGCATCCTAGCTGCCACACTTCCCATCTAGCTCCCTGCTAATGCACCTGGGAAGGTAGCAAATGATGGTCCAAGTGATTGGGCCTCTGCCACCCACGTGGGAGACCCAGATGAATTTCTTGGTTTCTGGCTTCTGCTTGGCCCAGATCTAGCTGTTATAGCCATTTGGGGAGTGAATCAGTAATGGAAGCTCTCACTCTCTCTCTCTCTCATCTCTCTCTCTCTCTCTCTCTCATCTCTCTCTCTCTCTCCTTCTCTTTCTCTTTCTCTCTCTCTCGGTCTGCTTTTCAAAGAAGTAAATAAATTCTTAAAAATTTTTATCTTTGTATTTTCTAAGTAAATACTGGAACATTTATACCAGAAACTATTACTTCTACAAATACTGGCTTTCTAGACAGGCCTTTTTCTTTACTTAGTTTTCATCGAAGACTGGGGGAAAATTTCAGAACAGAGATGTCTGAAGTGGGGTGGGCTATATTATAGAGCTCATCCACAGTTAAAACTAAAGCCAGGAGTGGACCATTTGTGTTGACATGGACATAAAACTTGATCTTAACTTTGTTGTGGAGGACAGAAATATCCAATGCTACTGTGAGTTCTTTTTAAAATCAAAACTCCTGGGACTGGACAGGAAAAGGAAAGTTCCCCAATGCTGTATTCTCTATGTTCTGGGTAGATCACGTATACTTTTCATAAAGATGAGATCACGTCACAGTGGGTTTGCTGGATTTCTAGAGTAAGATTTTTAAACAATGTTTAATGCATTCCTTTGTTTATTAAAAGAAATCCTTTGTACCTAATCTTTCTTAAATTTTTCTTCTTGACCTGCCCTCCCCAGTGATTAAAAACTTTTTTTCATTTTGTGCTTAAAAATATGGCATTTATGGCTGCTATTTGATAAATGATCAGATTCAGAAAATGTTAGGTTCTGAGTTTTGCTTTCTTACGCTTTTTAGGCTTTTAGCTTTCCTGAAGAAACCATCTGTAAGCTGAAAGAGCTAACTGTGGGTTTCTAACTGCAATTTTGTTAGAAGCAATGGTCACCCTGCAGTAGTATTATCTGTGCACCAGCCAAAGGAACTGAGTAGGAGAAAGGAAAGGATTTGCAACAAGATAACTGCAATTTCCTCAGTAAATTCTCCTTTACTCCAGTTTTTTTTTTTTTTTGAGGATTTGAGGATTTATTTCTATTGAAAGTTGAAAGAAACTCAATGCAATGTTGTGCAGAAAAATAAAGAGATGTTTCCTAAGTTTTTTTCATGCTAAAAGTCTACTAAGAAATTCAACAGAAAACAAAATAGGCTAGAAATAGGAAACAAAATTCTATGTCAATATTAACCCAAATCCAAACTCATTAAAAAGAACACAGCTTTCCTTTGCTGTTCTGTTTTTAATTTCCCAGCTGAGGAGCATCTAATATGTTGCTAAAAATTAAATTAAAATACAGTTTTATTACTTGAATGAATCTAGTGAATTCTATCTGTAAATTTCAAACTATTTGTTATATTGGATTTGAAACTAATGATATTTCTCAGGAAATGAGTGATCAGAGGCTTAAGGAAGTTGTTTGAAGGCTGAGTTATTTCTTTTTTGTTTGTTTTCTAATTTATTTTTTTTGTCTGACTGTAGATAAATCTTTTTTCTTTGATGTATATTTTATTTAAGTTATACAAGTTTCATATATTTCCTTTGTACAGTTACAGGAACATAGTGGCACTTCCCCCCACACTCCCTCCCACCTACACTCCAATGGTGTATTGCTGACTGCTCCCGAAGAATAACGCGGTCTTTGCTTTCTTTTCTGAAGCTTCCTTTTGCTCACAATGTCTCATGAAATCGGCACCAGCAGCACCCACTTTCCTCATACTTACCCTTGGAAACAATTCATTGTTCACAATGAGCTCATTAAGGAATACTGCCTCATTGAAGTAAGCCTGTTCCATCCCTCATCCAAAAGCTCAAAGGACTTTTTTATGTTCCTCATAGAATAGAGATGAAACAAAATGTCACATGGAATTTTAAAATAATAATACCTTTAAGATATTCATACCATCTCATTAGAATTAGTATAATAATTTTTGGATGCAAGCATTTGGTCAGGAAAAGAGTATTTAGATAGTGATTTCAATCTCAATTTGCTGGTAATTGGAATTTCTCTCTGATTTGATATTTAAGAAGAAATATGTAGCTACAGAACACAAAGTAATTTTTCTTTAATCATTTGAGGTCATCTGATCAGTGGAGAGAGTCACACCAAGGTGTAGGTCAATGTGGCATATTTTTTTTCTTAAGATTTATTTATTTATTTGAGAGTCAGAGTTACAGAAGAGGGAGAGACACACAGAGAGGTGTGCATCACTCCCCAAACAGCTGCGGTGGCTAGGGTGGGGTTGATCCGAAGCCAGGAGAGAAGAGCTTCTTCTGGATCTCCCATGTGGGTGCAGGGCCCCAAGAAATTGGGCCATCTTCTACTGCTGGAGCTGCAGGTAGAGGCTTAGCCCATTACTCCATGGGTTCGCACTGCTCTTTTTTTTTTTTTTTAAGATATTTTATTTATTTGGAAGTCAGAGCGATAGTCAGAGAGAGAGAGAGAGAGAGAGATGATAGATAGTTCTGGTTCCCTCCCCAAATGGCCATATCAGCCAGGGCTGAGCAAGGCCAAAGCCAGGAGCCTGAAACTCCAACTGGGTCTCCCATGTGGGTGGCAGGGGCCTAAACACTCAGACCATCCTCTGCTACTTTCCCAGGTGCATTAGCAGGGAGCTGGATAAGAAAGAAGTGGAGCAGCTTGGACCCAAACCATGCCCTTATAGGATGCTGGTGTCTCAGGCATTGTCTTAACCTGGTACACCACAATGCCGGCCCCCCAGGTAGAAGTTTTTTTTTTGTTTGTTTGTTTGTTTGTTTTTTTGACAGGCAGAGTTAGACAGTGAGAGAGAGAGACAGAGAGAAAGGTCTTCCTTCCGTTGTTTCACCCCTCAAATGGTTACTAC